GAATTTCGTAAAGTAATAAAAAAATACATTTTTTTATATTATTCTTACTATAACAAAAACTATATAAATAAAAAGTTAAAACAATGTATCACTTTTTACTTTTAGTATAAAAAGCACATACCTCAAAATTCTGATTGATTTTTAATCATATTCTTCTTACGATGTTGCGCATTGTCTCCCATATAAAAAGCATGTGTTACATGGACAAAATCGCGCAGAGCCTCTTCCAACTTGCCCATTATTTTACTTATATTGAATGGGCTATAAAACTGCATACCCAAAATTTGACTTGAGTTAGAAAGTCACATGATAGAGCGAAAACGATGTAAATAAATTGCAGCCAAGTTGAATTGTAGCTCGATAAATGCACGTACATACATACACACATACAGTCAGTGTCAAATGTAAGTGTACATCGTATTCTAATTATTTTCACGAATTTGGCGAATTTCAAAAATGTTCATCAAAACTTTTATTCAGAATTTTTAAAAATTCAATTCAATTTTAGTACACCAAAGTGCAAGTTTCATGTCGCTAAAAATTACCGTTGCTTTTTTAATATTTTTTTTTGTGGGGGTCTTGACCATTTTCTCCCATCATGCGTTCTTCTTCTTATTTGGCGCTGTAACCGCCTAAGCGATTTTGGCCAAGATCAGCAAAGCACGCCAGTCGTTTCTCTTCTGTGCCAACTGACGCCAATTGGAAACGCCAAGTTATATGGAAGAAAATACGCAACACCTCACAGAAAAAAAATCTAAAAAATCAAGGGTAATTTTTAGTGACTGAAGCTTGCACTAAAATTTAATGGGCTACAAAACTACATACTCGAAAATTTTCTAAAAGTACTGAATAAAAAGTTTGAAATTTTGAATAAAATTTGTGGATTTTTATGAATAGTTATAAAAACCGTAAAACTTTGATTTATATTGTTTATATTACAGAATGAACTATGTTTTAATAAAAAATGTATGAATAAAAAGGCTTGATGTTTTAATAAAAAATTTATAAATATTTGTGAAAGTGTGAAACTTTGATTTGTATGATTTATGTATAGAATGAACTCAATTTTCACAAAAATTATTGAAAAAATTTTTTCATTCAAATAATTGTAAATATTAGATATTTTAGGGCAGTGTATACTAAATTTTTACTTTGACTGTATGAATGTATGTATGAAGATTTCGCACTGGCTTACCCAGAGTTGTTATTAGCGAGATGGAATCCTCCTCATTGAATAAAATCCTCACACGAGTATGTAAATTACTAATACGCACTGTACTTTTCAAACAATCGCTTAAGCAAAGTACGTATGGACATATGTATATGTATGCATGTATGTATATTTCTAACTACAGAGAAAGTTCAATATTTAATTCGCTTAAAACTTGTTTGGGATATTACACAGAGGAAACTCTTAATTATTGGAAACCATTACGCGATGCTAAATATATATATGTACATATGATACGATGACCTTTACGAAAGCCATATACAATACATTTACTTTTATGGATATTTATATACGTTTGCATGAAAGTCGTTTATTGCGTCGATACAAAAGTAAACAAACCCAAGTGAATTGGCAAACACGAGCATGCTATCGATAAACGTGTATAAATATAACCTGTCGCTATCGAGTGTAAGCACACAGTATGTACACAAGTGTGTTTGTATGGTTGCACATATGTGTGTACATTAGGGTGGTCTAAGTGTGGTAAAGTGGGTAGTAAAGTCGGAAATTTAACGCTCTCACCCGCTAGGATTCTTCAATATCGAAATATATATATATATATATATATATGACAGAAATACAGTCGGAGGTTTGCATTGCACTATTAGAAAAAGTTTTTGTTTGTCGATTGAAAAATATATGTACATATACACACTTGCGATCTTTTCTTTTTTATTTAGATAATGTTTATAATTTTTTTTCATAAAAGTCCACATTTAAAACTTTGGGCAAAAATTATAAAAACCCTGCGAAGCTTCATCTAAACTTTCAACTTTTTGTTCATTTACATCAATATAAGTATTCGACAATTTTTTTTTTGCCGGGAAAGCTGCGTAATACAGTGAAAAAAAAACTATCGAAAATCAACGCGATTTTGTAGCAACTCAAAACTTGCACTTTATTACACTAAAATTTAATGCATGCTCACTTTCTATTCATTATTATCATGTATTTGGAATTTTTTTATAAGGGAAGCTGCGTAATAGTAAAAAAAAAAACATATTAAATTTCAGCGCGATTTTTTATCAACTCAAAACTTGCACTTTATTATACTCAAATTTAATGGGCTATTAAGCTGTATATCAAAAAATGTTACGCATTTCTTTGCTTGCAAAAAAAATTTCGAATGTAGTAGTATTAATGAATAAAAAGTTGAAAATTTAGATGAAACTTTGCAAAAGTTTGAAATGTTGCTGTTGTTGTTGTTATTGTAGCAATGTACAAGAGACACTGGAGTGGCAGTAAAGCAGTAATTTTTAAGCAAAAAACAAAACTGACTTTAATTCTCATATAAAAATTTAAGGCTACCTTTAATTTCTTCATGATCCAATGATCGGATCTAAACCAAATTAATATGGGACCCCCTCTGAGGTTCCACATTTCCTTTCAAAAAAAAAAAAGAATTTTAGATATTGGTTAAAGTGGTCCAAAGTTATGCGGTAACATACATAAAAAAAATTATTCCGACGAATTGATAACCTCCTCCTCTTTTTGAAATCGGTTAAAAAAATATGTAAATTCTTTGGATACAGAACATTAAATTCCGACTTTATTTTTCCCACATTTATTTTTGGATCATACTAATGTACATAACGCTAGCTTTGAGGGAAAAGTTGCCAAGTCCACTATTTTTGAAAAATCATATTTTGAAATTAAAAATGCAAAATGCAGGAATAAAAATGGTGAGAAAATTCCTTTCCAAGAATACCTCATAAGTCTGAATCGGTAAAGTTTAGGCCGGGTTATTCAAGTTTTTTTAAACCAGTCTTTGAAAAAAGTTCAAAAACAGCATCAAAAATCTCATTATTGTGATTCCGTTTAACTTTTTATAATATTTGTATGCAAATTTTTTAGTCTTAAACTGTTTTGTCATCTAAGGTGATTTTTTGCTAAGAATAGTTTTTTTTGTATGAGGAGTGATGCAGTCTAATGTATATATGTTTACCATAAAGCCGTTTGCGCAAATTCATTGACATTCGTTCTCAAATAAACACGTAAAACTGAGTGCAAGAACCAAAAAATCAAATGAAGGCCAAGTTGACTCCAGACACTGCGTTGTCGGAAAGACTGCTAGATACAGCAGGATAAACTGGAAAAACGTTGGTCCGCTCTCATTTTGTAACTACTTTGGTATACATACCAGTGATAGAAAAGTACGCACAATTGTGCTTTTCTACACTTTTTTACCTCATTCAGCACTTTAAGCACAATCGGCAGATTTGGCAATAATAATCGGCAATTGACTATAAGGCGATTCTGGCCAAAATGTATTTAATTTCTATCAACCTTAGTTCAAAATATGTAGGTACAAAGTTTATGTGTGATTAAATAAGCAAGAAGTTTAAATTGTAAATTCTCTGGTGAAATCAGAAGCGATGTAGAGAAAATTTAATTTTTTACTTATTCAAGTTGTTTTGTACATATTTTACGTTGAATAAACCAAATTTGCCAAATTTTCAGCAAATAACATTTTTACGGTTTTGAGAGGTTTCCGCTTCCTATCCGAGTAGATTTATTCCGGTTTTTAGAAAAAGTGTGTCTTAAAACCATTTTTTCATTCACGTTCTGCTACTTTAAATACCGCGGAGAGACGAAAATCGATGGTGTTTCGCATAATCTATCGGTCTGCCAAACACCTTTTCACCTTTAGGTAGCGGTATGTAACATATTAAGGGTATTCTCTAAGTCTTGCAAAGCCTTTGCATGGTGCATGTAAGGCAGTCAGAAAAAAATATTAAAAAATCAACGCGAACTTAAGACTTGCACGTTATAACCCTAGAATTTAATAGGCTATTAAACTGCATACTCGAAAAATTTCTAAAAAATCTGAACAAAAAGTTGAAAATCCAGCTGAAACTTTGCAATTTTTCATAATTTATAACCAAGTTTGAAATCTGGATTTATGTGGTGGTTGTTATAGAATGAGCTAGACTTTTATGGAAAAATAATAAACATTAAATAAACAAAAGAAAAATAGCCAAAGTTGATCAAAATGTTGCTGGCTTAATTAGCCGATCACAAGTGTATGTGCATTAGGATCGTAGGTGGTGAGAGCATAAAAATTCCGACTTTACTTTTTCACATATGTATGGTGGTACCTTTTTGGATCACCCTAATATTCATACACTTAACAGAAGAAGTCTGCATACATCATATCTTTTTTAAATATTCACAAAATTTTGCAAGCTAATTTTGAAAAAGGAATTTAAAAATAGTAAAAATTGTAAGCGATTTTTACGCGCTTGCACTTATTTACTAAAATTCCTTCATACCCAAAACTGTTATAAAATCCCCCCTAAACGAAAGAGGATTGACGCCGCTTTATGAAAAATCATGTAATAAAGCGTGCACTGTTGTCTACAAGTGTGTGTAAAAGTTTTTTGATTCGATTCACGCGTTTGGGCACAGCAACCCAAAATCGTTGTACAAATTCATAAACAGTACCCAAAGCATGAACCATATTTTTATAAAAAATTAAAAAAAACGAAATTTAGTCTGTAAAACATTGTAAATATTAAAACAAAAACCATTCATCCAATTTTGACCGCCAGTGTAGATACATACATACTAAAGTCACTCGCAGAAGTATTCCTAGGTAATTTTGTTTTTTTACAATATGTATTTAAAATGTTTTCCATCACAAATGTTTTTTCGTTAGTTTTTTATTTAAATTATAGCTCATTCTAAACATTTTTACGAATCAAACATTATTACAACTGTAGTGTAAACAAGAACTACATATTATGTATAATTGGCAATCTGTATTTACCTGTGCTAAATAGCATTGATTTACGTTGTTTGCATGAAAAATGGAATAGCGTGACGTCGCATCACAAGTTGTTTTTGATTGTGGTGTTGTTGTAGCCGTCACACATACATTGTTTTTGTGCGAATTTTGTATTGTCACCGAAGTTGTTGTTGCGGCGAATTTGCGTTAATTTTGTTTGTTGTTTTGTGGTACGTTGTTATTGGTATAATTGTCGGAATTTTTTCAGACAGTAGGAAGGCAACAAAAAATAGAAAGGGGAAAATTTTAATTATAGACAACAATGCGTTTTCACCTAAATTTAGATTACAGCAAAATTTAAAATTAGGTAAAAGTTTATATGCGTATTTCTTGAATTTCTTTTGGTATCGCCAAAGGCACGCTGCACAAGCACGCCCAGAAAAGAGAATTACACGTCTTGCGCCGCACCGTTATGTAAAACACATTTCTTGCACTGCACATTATGTACAATTTTCTTTTTTATACATTAATATAAACTGAATTTTCACACTTATTTCCATACTATTCAAACAACGCGTTGTTGCCGTGATACGTACTAAATCTCGCTCCCCAATTTCCCTACAATCAACCGAGGCCGCGCAGACAGCCAACATAAAATTGGAAAAAAAAAGGTCGAGGGCTAACATGCGTCAGACGGTCACACCACGTTTTTGTCTACAATAATTGCCATGTCTCACTGCGTAGCCACTACTTACTACTTACTCAAAAACACGCACGCACGCCCGTTCTATATTCTGAAGTCAATTTCACTCCAACTAATCACTTGAAATTAACTTGATTCCTATTTTATTTTTACAAAAGTAAATAACTAAATTTTTAATAGGCGTACGCTCTTAAAACAATATTTTCAAAGACGTAAACATCAATCACTCTCGGCCACGTTAGTTTTACTTCTGAATCATTTCATTTGCTGCCTCCATATCATTGTATGCTTTTCATCGTCAAACGCTATCGTTGACGAAGTCATCGTCGTCGTCGAAGTCGACGGCGCCGCACTTTCCCCTGCGCATTCAAACAACAACCCTTCACACACAAATCAATTTACAACATTTCCGCTGTCGACGTCCCTGCTCAACGACTTTGTTGTTCTTGCTATTCCCTCACTTTCTCCTTTGATTGCATTTTCCTCATGATTTTTTTGTTTTCATATGTATTTTTTCGCTGTCAGCGCTCTTCTGCGGGCACGTCATCAAAACGAGGCGCCGCAAAAGCAAAAGCCACAAATACATGGCATACAAAACATAATCTAATATTTATGCCCGCCCACCTTTTGTTATGATGGAGTCCTTTTTAAGCGTTGTATTTGCATTTAATGATTTTTAATTAATATTTAAACACAATTTTATCACTTTTTCACAGACTGCAAAAGAAAAACGTCAGACCGGATCGCAATTTCTAGTTTTTTGAAACTTCAGCGTCTCAGCTTCACGAATGCTGCCAGACTCCATCGAAATTGTTTATATGTAAGTATGTAAGTATGTAGGGACACGAATTTCGATACGATACGATACCATATCTATACTTTTGGCATTCGATGCCGATATTTTCTACTCGATAGTTTTAAAACGATATATCGATACTTTCTGTTCGATATCGTGTCCCTATAAGTATGTTTAGATTTCGTTGTCTTGGAGTACGTGTTCTTTTGTTGCTGAAATTACAATGTCCTGCTGTCCAGTGAAGTTGTTTTAATATCGCAAATATATTTAATTTGGCTTCCTCAATTTACAGGCTAACCTAGTAACCGCGGCTTGCGTTTTGGAACGCACGCCGTCGAATTTGTTTTTTTTTTAGCGTCACCCGAAATTGGCATGCGTGCGTTTGCATTCGATTTCATTGAGCGAAACGTCAAATCAAAATGTCACTCAGAACAAGAATTCAATTCAGTTCAATTTCGGTTAGTCCCGCACAATTTGTGTGTAGAATTCTATTTATATTCTTATGGACGCTCACACATCTGTCAAAACTTGTCGTTGACATGGAAAGGCATATTATGCATTTTAAATTAGTTTTTATTCTATAATTCTGAAAGATATTTTAATTATCCGAGCCCGCATTGAACTTTATAGCTTTACAGGCTAACCCAATATTCGCGACTTGCGTTTTGGTACGCACGCCCTAGAATTTTTTTCCTGCGTCACCCGAAATTGGCTTGCGTGCGTTTGCATTTGATTTCATTGAGCGAAACGTCAAATCAAAATGTCACGCAGAACAAAAATTGGAAATTGAGTTAGCTTCATATGCACGCCGTTCTATTTCGGTTGGTCCCCGTTGTATGTGCATGAGAAATTTTTGACAGTAAATTGGTGGCGTGGGTTAATATTAGGTTAGCCTGTTAGCCTATAAGAAAAAACGGCCTTCATACAGACCACCTGGCAACGTTGTTGGTCCGAACTGTACACAACAAAACAAAATTTTTGTATGTATGTAGAATGTCTGTACAACAACAACGCCAACAAAAAAAAAAACATATATTTTTTATATTCGCAGTCTGTCATTTCTGAAAAGTGGCGTGATTCTGCCGCAAGCAGAGCGCATGCTTATTGGCGGAGTGAATGAGACAAAAGTTGTTTATTAATATGCTTGCGTTGTTGCCAGATTTTTATAGAAACTGCTCAAAGCAGCCAGATGTGCAACCATAAGGGTCGCTGCATATTTGCCATTCGAGCATAGTTGCTTCAAAGTTATCATGACGCAACGTTAAAATGGCGATTACACTGATGCACACCGTGTTGTGATGTTTCAATTGTTTACTATGGCAACTGAATTTTCTAGGCCAACTACACTACGCATCGCAGGTACTTTCATCGCGATGCGCAGACTGTCTCATCGTGTATTTGGTCGTTCCGTACGGTTCCGTAGCGCTGGTAAATGAATGTATATCGTCGCCAGGGTAAAAGATTGTCGTAAGCGCCATTTTGACGATTTTTAGTTCTAGATGCAGTTATATATTTTGAAATAAGGTCTTTCGATTGGTGTATCAGTTTTTAGATATCTTCTTTAGTTTCCGAGATATTGAGTAAAAAGTGTCGTTAATTTGGTAGAAATTTTGATCACATTTTGTCGTATTTCATACAAAGTGGCTGCCGAATTGTGGACAAATGACGCTTACGACAAAATTTTACCAAAGAAAATCCTTCATAAACTCAAAAGGAATTAGCAATAAACATTAAAAATTAAATAATTTAAGAACTTTATGAATTAGTAACATTTTCAGAGACTTTGGAGAAAATCTATCTTTGCATTTTTGAGAAATTGCATTCCAAACTTCAATCGCGAATTCCCACAACCTGCCGAAATTAACATACGACAATCTTTTACCCTGGCGACGATATATTACCGGCCAAACCCGATCTTAGGACAGGTCTACCTAGATCCAATATATCCGTCCAATGTGGAAACAAGTTGGACGCAACAATATTTTGGACTGCGTACCTGGAGTTGGACTGATAAGGGTTATTTTTTTGAAGTGAGGCATAAGGCCCCCTACGCGGAAAGGTGTTCTGCGCAAAAATACTGTGGCCCCTTATCTAGGCAAAACTAGTTTGTCCTAAGATCGGGTTTGGCCGGTAACATATATACAAACAGATATATATGGAGGAAAAAATAATTGCTTACTGTTTTATAAAAGAAAAACGGGAAAATGAAAGAAAGAAATATTTGTTCAACAACAATTTCATTACGAAATAAACAAAAATGCTTTACTATAATAAAAATTCATAAAAAAAAATATTTTTTTGAAAAATTAAAATCTAAAGATTTTGTAAAAAATAAAACCAGCCAAAGAATAACTAAATAAAAAAATACCCTGAGCCAGAAGAGGACTCGAACCCGGATCTCTCAAGCGGCAGTCTGATGCCTGGCCACTCGGCTATTGCCACTCTTGGAGCGGCGCGAGCTAAAGGCACATATAAATTCTATCAGTTGACTGTCTGTGTTTGTTTAAACCACACAATTTTGGTGAACTTTTTGCGAATCTCTCCTACTAAATACCCAATTCATCTCAAGTCACTAAATTTGAGACTAGCAAACTGAGACTGAATTACTGAATGACAGGGTAAATATTATTACCATTTATTTAGGGTTTTAGCTTTGAATTCTTCGTGAAATTGTTAAAAAAAACCTTTCACTTTTTTAATTGTGAAGATCTTATCACTGGACTTATACCAAACGGCAGAGAAATTGTTTGAAATTGATAAATTTTGAAGTGAATATAAGGTCTGTCCGATAAGTTAAGATGTTATTTAAAGTCCAGTTTTAACCTTAGAGGAGTTTAGTTCAGAAAGTATAAGACTCAAAAAACAGTTCAGAACAATTTAGTGCAAGAAAAATCCTCAGCTAACGCTTTTTCCTACACTAAGGTACTCTAGTGCACTCAACGAACAGACCCAACAAACATTTAGGTTTGAGCTCAACTTGAGGTTAAGTTGAGAACTAAGCTATTTCTCACATCTCCAACGTTGTTTCTCAACAGTACCTCAAGTGGAGGATCATAGCGTTCTCAACAAAAAGGGAATTTTTCTTTGTATGAAAAAAGGATTGTTTCTCAAGTTGAGAAAATGCTAGTTCTCATCTTGAACTCCAATTACTCCTTTTGTATTATGTAGTTAACCAATATCGTATTACAATAACTCACTTCACAGTATACAGTCCGACAGTCCACTTTATGCACTTCGCGTTTTGAAGGTTATTTACTTTTTAACCGACTTCCAAAAAAGGAGGAGGTTATCAGTTCGTCGGAATATTTTTTTTTTTTATGTATTTTACCGGATAACTTTGGACCACGTCAACTGATTTTGATAATTCTTTTTGCATCGGAAAGGTAGTGTCTCAGAGGTGGTCCCATACTAATCTAAGATCCGATCCGATCCGATCATTGGATCATGAAACATATAGAGATATATATATATAAATATTTTTTTAAGCCGGTTTTTTTTGCTAAAAATTACTTGTTGGTAATTTTCCTCTATATATAGCTTTCGTTTTTCACTTGATAAATAAAAATTCGTTTCTCTATAAATTTTTACGTATCTGCGCATCGGCTAGAGATGAGTTGGAGAATGATGTTGGATATCAACTTGAGAATTATAAATTTCTCCAAGGTTGGAGGACTAACAGCTCAGTTATGCGTACTTGGCGTTGCATGAGAGTTGGTCACATAAGAAATATGTTAAATGAGTTTTGCGTGTAAGCGGTTACCCAACGCATAGCACTTCACATTGGAAATGTAACTGAGCTAGAACATGTGTGCGGGCATGTAAAAGTAAATGAAATAAAACTCATTGCAGTTTTTTAAACACTGATTATGAAGAAGGCAAAAGCTTCCAAAGATACGATTTTCAGTGGAATATGCATACTGATGCACACTAAAGTGGATTTGGCAGTGGTAGACTATCTCACTTGTCAATATTTGTCAGTTGTGGAGTTCGGGAAGTGATCCAACTAGTTTAACCGGTGAAACCAGCAAATAAAGGGGAATTTCATAACCGATAATATTCCTCTCCCCAGTAGCGAAGCCACTTGAGATTACTCTTAATGTGTCACCTAACCCCTCGAAGCAACAGCACCACCCCGAACTTACCGCCATAAACATTCCGATGACTCAGGGCCTTAATAGTAACCGCCCCTGTGAGAGAACCATTCTCGGAGCTTTTGACTCGTGAAAGGTTGTTGTTTTTGTATTGGCTTACTTAGCCTTGCCTTGAACGGCTAACGGAAGGCACAGGAAGTGTGCCACTCCGACTGAGTTGGACCAGAGGGAGAGGGGTGTTAGTTGAGTGGGATTTCGTTTCCATGCAAAAAGGTTGTGTCGAGTCATGGCACATCGAAATTCTGTCTCGTCCAAGTCGTTTAGTTGTGTTCGTCAAACGGCATTCATAGGTCGGGAGATTGTGTGAGTTCAGACCGACTCCCTGTGAATGCGTGAATGCTGTTTATGGTTTGTCGGTACGTTGTCGGGTCTAGTGGTTGTTTTATGAACCTTTGGACCTCGTCTGTTAGTGCGTGAAGATGCCTTCTGACGCGCCTTGGGGAGGTCTCTGCAGCAAGCATATGTCTGTTCAGGTGCCGACATTTGTGGCCCCTACTAGGAACTGTTTGCATAGCAAGGTATTGTGCTCCCTGGCGGGAAGCATTTCGGTGTCGTAATGCAGGTTATGTTCTGGCGACATCAGAAGGCATCCTGTGACTGTTCGAAGTGCAGGTTTTGGCAGCTTTGCAACTGTATCTAATGCGTCCTGCTAGTCCTCGGCGATC